TATATATATATATATATATATATATATATATATATATATATATATATATATATATATATATATATATATATAGATAGATATAGATATATAGGCCTATATATTTCACTCGATAATATTTTTCTGTGTTCATAAACCGTGAAAACAATCAATTGCTAAAGAAATGAATGATGATTTAAAATTTGCATAGCATGACCAAATTGTCGGGCTGGTTAGACGCAATTTGCAAATAATGAAATGGCGTATATTATTTTTTTACAAATGGAGCACTATGTTTATGCTCTATATGGTAAACTGGCATAAAACAACGGTAACTCGGCCGAAAATAAACATTTTAGTACATATTATAATGAAAAAGAAATTCAAATTTAATTTTTTAAGTTTCAAGTTTTAGTATTCAGTTTAATATTTGAATATTAAAATATTTATTTTCGGAGTTACCGTTGCTTTGTTGCTTTATTTATTAAAATACTCAGTGGTTCCCGTAACTTTTTAGACGGGCATATATTAATCCTACTATAGTTTTTGTTCGATATACTTATGCAGTTTTATGTATTTTTAAGTTTCACAAAATCGCCAACGTTGAATGTGAGTTGAAGGATGCCATTGAGCTAATGGGCATGAACACGGCGAAACGCAACGTGTTGAAAGTGACAGGACGTTCATTTTGGGATCGTTTGGAGTGCGAAATCAGGCTGCATATGGAAAAACAAGAGAAGCCGGTAAGTGTTGTATCTTGCACGTAGACGTATAGTTTTGTAAAATTTACAACAAGCACGAAGCCAATATAAACATGCATGTTTTTATGGCTTCCGTGTGAACAATGTTTATGACTCTTCCCAATGAAAAATGTATTCTATACAGTATTTACATGCATGCATGCATTTGTTTTATTGCCTTTATAATCAACCGATCACAGAACCTGTTTATATATATATATATATATATATATATATATATATATATATATATATATATATATATATATATATATATGCATATGTATTTTCTGCCGACAACGCGCGACATATTATCGATTGCATTTTTTATTATTTTTTCAGCCGCTAACGTGGTTAAACCCATGCTCGAATGTGTGTATTGATGGAAACTACGAATCAGCGATTAGCATCAGAGTTAGTGATATTCACGAGTTCACGAGCATAAGTAACAAAGTAAGTTTTACGACTTTTTTTATCGTTTTTAACTCTTTTTCCCCTGAGCATATATACGCAGGCCGAAATAATTCCATAGTTGCCAAATTTGCCAAATAATCTGAAGACTATATATAACCATTGAGATTAATTGTTGTAGTTTTATATTATATACAGATACCTTAAGTTGAATGTCACAAATTACAACATCCAGCAGTATTATTATTATATATGATGTCTCAAAAGGCTTTTTGTCTTCTTGAATTATACAGGAGACAAAAGAGAATATTTCTAATTCAATTGGCAATCCGAAACACTTAAGTGACACCGTCGCTTTCGCTATGAATGAAATGGCAACACTTTCTCAGGTGCGAAGAAGAGTTAATAAGGAGCTTGTGAGAAATGCGAAAGCATACAAGATACCCAAGAGAATACTAGGAAAAGATCTCTGCAATGCGATTGAATATGGTATGCAAGTATGATATGTTCTTATGACCCATTGCCCAAGTTTTCGGTTATACGAAAAAGTATATTGCTCATTGTATGAAACGACTTTTTCATATGTTTTCATTATTGTTTTACTGAAATCTAAGCGGTTGGCTCATTCCACTCCTGGCAATCCGCCATATTTTGAGATCAGTGAGATGACCATGCACTCATACTATGCCAATTTTGAAACGGCTAGTATAGCTATATAGCCTTCCTTTTCCCAGGTGCATGTAAATAGCCGTGCGGCATTAGTATACTCTCCCGTTGGCTACTTGGCTCGCTACAATATTTAAAACACGTTTTAATAGGAATGCTTCATATTTCATTTCATATTCATATTTAAAATGCGAGTGCTACGCAAATTTGCATTTTAGATACGATAAAACGCGACTATACAAGCGTTTTGAATAGCTTCAGACACTACTACATCGATGTCGTCTCATTATAGTATTCTTCATATAAAAAATACTATAATTAGGATGGACTTTGAGATGAGAATACCAATGAAGATGAGTTTTATTAGGTGCAAAGCCTCTTCGCGTGACATACTATGGTTGATATGATTTGCAAATAAGCTATGAATTATTAATAATGAGTGTTTGAAATATATATATTTACAGCTTGCGGTTTAATAGAGGATATACCGGCAAATAGTGATGAAGCAGAAATAAATGATGATGAGCAAAATATGTGTAAACTTCCCGAAAATAAAATGGAAGAGTTACGGTTATTGCTCGGAAATATTGACGCAAGTGTAGGCAAGTATCCATGTTGGTGTATATAGGTTGAAGGATTTTAACTGCCCTAAATAATCGGCAATAATGATAATTAACCAAATTTTACCATTTTTTAGGTAATACTTTACAAGACCCAATGCACGATGACTTGGACCAGCGGCTACCCATTGACGTATGTAACATTATATACATTTTTATACCTCCTAGTATATTAATGGCATTTTCGTCAAGGAAAGATTGTTTGTGACTGCAGCTCAGCTTTAATTCTATTTAAATTATAGTACAATTTCCAAGCTGTGGACAAGCAGTATAGAGCGTAATATAGTTTTTCGTTTTACCTCAAAAAACCACAACAGTCTGTTTCATCCGTATAGGAATCATCAGGTGGTCTGAAACAGACTGTTGTGATTTTTTGAGGTAAAACGAAAAACTATATATATATATATATATATATATATATATATATATATATATATATATATATATATATATATATATATATATATATATATATATATATATATATTAATTTAAAGTTTCTGCTTCACAATTTTTACTATAAGTCGTCTTTCACCGTGTTGTTTGCAATACCTTATAATTATTTATTATAACTTTATTATTTATAACTTTTTTTTATATTTAAGGAGCTGTCGCCAAATACAAAATTTATGTATGATCTTCGATCTCCCAAGGGGAAACGAAATTACGAGAAGGTTGATATTTTTCTATAAATGTATACCTTTGAACAATAAGGGGTGGACCCATCAATGCGTACAGGAAAAAATGGTAGGGACAGAACCGCAGAAAGAAATTTGCCCGCCTTTCCAAAAAAAAATTCTAGTGCAAAATTCCCTAAATTTTTAACACGTACACAAATTAATTAAAATTATAGCCATTTGAATTTGAAACAGATAGTATAAAAGGTTACCTACAAAAACCACATGCACTTATACAAACAGGTAGAGTGGTTAGTGGGTTTTTTCCTGGCCTAAAATTTCTCATACGATTTCTGAAATTATAGGGTCTTATTGATGGACTAAAAATTGCCAAGCAAAGGCAACGCCAGGATGATGAACAACGTGTTAGTGAATGCGATGGTGAGTTAATTTTTCTACTGACCATACGGACTAAGAGTTAAAATACACGTCGGGCATAACATTAGGGACTAGGGAGTTTGGCAACCTAGAACGGCAACTACAACGGCATGACGGCAAAATATAATTGCTTATATTGTTGTATTTGAGCCAATGGCAATGTATACGTTACTACACCTAATTTGCCTCTTTAAGTATTCCTGTTTCTCTAAAACAGCCCTTAAGTACTGAAAAATAGTCCGCGAATTCAAATAAAACACCTCAAATATCATTGAACAAATTAACTTTGCCGCAGTCATGCACCGTGAAAATGATGCAAATCACATAATTATACCAGTTCAACAACTACGGTATTGCACAACGCTTAAGATCGTACAAACTCACTAATATTTGCCAAACTCCCTAATGTCAATGACGTAGGCTCATTTCAGTAAAAGAGATAGTGATATGCCTTGTGAATATAGTTTCTAGTTACATTCGGTTCAAATATATTCAACTTTTTCAAGTAACAATGAAGTAAATCAGTAGAGCACAATCTGTTTGAGCTACAAAATTGGCGTCGCTACAAAATTGGCGTCGCCAATTTTAACGAAATTTGCGTTGCATTTTTCACTGTTTAGTGCTTGAAATATTTGCTAAAGTTGACTGGGAATACTTAGAGATTTCATCGTAGAAGGGCGTAGTTATATTTATTTGCTCTTTGACTAGAATGTTTAGCTGTATTATTGCTAAACATGCCGTTTTTGAGAATTTGGTTTGCAACTAGGTTTCAATATCCAACCACGCCATCAGCCCATTGAAAACATTAGGTCACGTCAGCTAGTTTCCTATACATTTATTTTATTATCCATGGTTAAACTGAGAACATCCGATTTATAGTTTACTATAGCTGTAGTGTATCAGTAACTCAATTATGCCATTATTATTCCTTTTATCCTATATAGACACTTCATCAGCACCATCTTGCTCTACTGCTGTAGACACACGTAAGTTTACATTTAAGTTCTGCACATTGCATTTTAGATACAGAAAATTAAGTTCATTTTACTTTTATACTCGGTAACAGTCGGTGTCGGTGTAATATACTACTCGGCTAAAGCTGTGAAATATGTGAATGATGTAATTATACTTTATTCATTAATGTAGCCTATACAGGGTGTATCAAAAAAAGCGCAACCTCGGAATTTCCCAAGAAATCGACATTGTTTTAAAGACAAAAGATTTTAGGCGCCTGGGAATTTAAAATAGCACAACTGTCAAAATTACTGCACACGCGAGTGCATAAAGCAAAATTTATGAATTTATTTAATGCACAACAACAGTAATATGATCTATTAGCAATTCGATTTCAATTCCCAGCGGCCTAAAATCTTTTATGCTTAAGAATTGCACCGTGATTTCTTAGGAAATTCCGAGGTTGCGTTTTTTTTTTATACACCCTGTATAAACTGCGGTATGCGCCCATTTATCATAGCCTAATTCAAAATTTAGATGTCAAACGTCCAAGGAGACAACTGAGGTTTGCAGATGGCACAATAGGAGTTGTTAATATAGAATGTAAGTAGCCTATTCATTTCACAACAGTATATATATTATAAAAACCTGCATATATACATGTATGTTGTGGTTACTTTATAGGTAAAAGTATTTCTTACTTTATATAGGTAACAGTGTTTGTTACGTCTTTATAGGTAACAGTGTGAAAAATAATACCGATACAGATACCGTTGACGATCTCTGTGTGTTATGCCATCGCAAGTGGCCACCCAACATGAAGGGAATGACAGCTTCATGGGTCCAATGTAACTCGTGCAATAAATGGTTTCATTTGTAAGTATAAAATCCTCATAATAATAAAAATAACAATAACAATAATAGGCTAGTATACTAATATTTAACAATTATTCGCCTTAACTTGAAAGGTAGGATCCCTTTACTATTTTACTGTGTTAAACATATTCACGGACAATTTAAACATATATTTAAAACTTAGAAACATTCACTTCAAACAAATAGTAGGCTAAAAACTATCCCGACTGTTGGTCAAAACCTTTCCGTGATATTAATTTAAATCCATTTCGTTTTTCCTATCCTATAAATTTAGTCTCAATTTGTACGATACTATATTTTCATATGTTGTAATAATAATAATAATGATAATGATAATGATAATGATAATAATGATGATAATGATGATAATGATAATAATGATAATAATGATGATAATGATGATAATGATAATAATGATAATAATAATAATAATAATAATAATAGTAATAATAATAATAATAATAATAATAATAATAATAATAATCAATGAATAATAATTCCATTCTTATATAGGCTGTGTTTGAGGATGAAAAGAAAAGAATTACAAGATATATGGCACTGTGATGATTGCGAGGCTAAAACTCCTAACCTTGATTAATTTCACAGACGACAGGCTTTATAGCTAATGACTCACGTTTTAGTGAACTGGCAAAGTTAATAATAATGTGAATATTGTCTTAAATAGTAGGACAATCATGTAAATAAGAAAGAAATCATATATTAAAATGTTCATTGTTTTTGTTTATATTTTTGTGTGAACTATATATTTTTTAAATATGTCATGGTTTTACACATACAACGACCATCTGCACCGCTCTTGCATAATCACAAAATATATTGAATCATTCCCATGCAGCAAAGTTTTTCGAATTATTTAAATTCCATCATTAGGTATCGCGATACTTTTTTTATATATTTGAGAAGGTTTGATACAAATCTTATACAGACAATAATTATGAAAAAAACACACGAAAATAGTTCCAGTATATACCTCCTAAAAGTCCTAAATTGCACCATGGTCGCCACTGGTCACCACAGGTAAATATGTGTACTTATACGAAACATTCGCCCACAATACCGGTCCCATGATGGATAAATTAATGAATGGTTTTGCTGATGTTTTGAAAATGTGTATAACACTTAATTTTTCCTTCATGTCATTTTTAATAAATAGGTTACTTGTGCATATAGCTAGGAAAACGATTATAACGAGTATTTTGCGGCTTGACGTTCCACATATAAGAATGGCGATATCTTAACTGATTGCAGTATACATAAATTATATACCATTTATAACAAAAATCAAAATGATTGTCGTGATGCAAGAGTAATTACTGGGGCAAAATACGATGTTCCGCCGGATCCGCTGACTTAATTATAGAAACGTAAATTGGAAACCTCTATATATACAAGAGATGAAACTACTTGAAAGCTATTTTTATGTATAAAATTCTAAATGGTCACACCGCACCCAAACTATAAAAGCAGTTTTTATTTCCAATAAGGAAAGAGCAAATACTTCCAATTTCAGAAATAATTGAACTGATTTAGCTCTTGGTATTCCGAAGAAATAATTCGGCATTTCGGCTTCGGCAAGAGGTGTGCTTCAATTACAACCGAAAGGAGCCTCATGCACATTGGAATAATATTCCCCGTGATTCAAAAATTGCTGATTCAAAACGATTTTGAAATAAAAATGCGTTGAGACTGGCTTGCTAGCCATGCAATTTGGCAATGTAAATAATATTTTGTAAATAGCTTATATTCAAGCCTCTCATTGAAATTAGCCGGTTGTTGCGGTCAGCATGAGAAAATAAAGTCTATGCGTGTATGTATGTAATATTTTAGTTCAACGGCGTTTATTTTGTTTCAATGGCCACCAACGACCACTGCGTATATATACAACGTATAATGCCTCAATATATTACGACCACTGCCACCACCGTATACACCGTGTATAATGCGTATATATACAACGTATAATACCTCAGTATATTACGACCACCACGACCATCACGGCCACCACGACCACCACGACCACTGCCACCACCGTATACACCGTGTATACTGCGTATATATACAACGTATAATACCTCAGTACATTACGACCACCACG